GCTACCGTAGCATCGTTACTGCTATCCTAGCATCACTGATATCCTAGCATTACTGCTGCTACCGTAGCATCGTTACTGCTATCCTAACATCACTGCTATCCTAGCATCACTGCCGCTATCCTAGCATCACTGCTGCTATCCTAGCATCACTGCTGATATCCTAGCATCACTGCTGATATCCTAGCATCACTGCTATCCTAGCATCAGTGTTGCTATCCTAGCATCACTGCTGCTATCCTAGCATCACTGCTGCTATCCTAGCATCACTGCTATCCTAGCATCACTGCTGCTATCCTAGCATCACTGCTGATATCCTAGCATCACTGCTATCCTAGCATCACTGCTGCTATCCTAGCATCACTGCTATCCTAGCATCACTGCTATCCTAGCATCACTGCTGATATCCTAGCGTCACTGCTGATATCCTAGCATCAGTGTTGCTATCTCAGCATCACTGTTGCTATCTCAGCATCACTGTTGCTATCCTAGCAAGTATAGACAGATCTTCGACGAACATGGATCTGTGTGAGCCTGAGTTTACCTCTAGAAACAGAAGCTTGAGAATGCTCTGAACTTCCACGGCTATCTCATTGTCACCGTATATTGCACGTCTGCAAGAGGTAAAACGCATTTGATCGCGCGAGGTGAGCAACATGGTCATGAACAGTACACGTAGTTACAAGCAGCGTGGCGTTAGCTGACGACTGATACAACAGATAACGAATATCACGACGCCCGCAGCAGAATAGGAATATTTGCAAAGAATAAAACGAATTTTGAAATGAATAATTTTGAAATGAATAATTACGACTAAATACTGAATACTAATTACTGAATAATATGACGACTAAAACGATAAAGAGATTTTAAGACTTAGTGTATTAATTCTCAGTTAGTAATTTTTTTATCAGCTGACATGTTATCATAGTAATAGTTGGCAAGGGTGTCACTATATATTATTATAAGGCACTCTGTATGACCGACAGCGTCGTGCCGCTACATTAGTACTTGTTCTAAGCAAAACTGCGATTACAATCGTGGGTACTGTAAGTAGAAACTAGAAACATTTTAAGCTTAATTGAAGGCAGATGTGCGCTATCGAAGCTCTGCACTTACCTAAACACGATTTTTTTATTCTTACTCGAGAGCATATCGCGGAGTGAGAAGGAAGTTAGACGACTCCTCCCACAACAGATGGAGTCAGCTACAAGCTGATATTGGCATCTCTTCGCACCTCCCACTATGTGCTCGCAGCGTGCGACACTGGGGCACCACCGCCACCACGAAGGGAGGAGAGCAGGGACAGCCCTAGCTCTAGAACTATAGCCCTTCGCTCTGCCACAGGCCTGTGGCATGCAGAGCGAAGGGCTGTAGTTCTATAGCTAGGACAGCCCGCTGAGCCCAGCAACTCGCGAACAGCACTCGCTTCCGAATAGTAATCTCAGGAAGGATAAGGGAGCGGCGCAGGGACAACTCAGTTACCCAGTGAACAGCACTCACGAGTAAACTACGGAGGAGGCGACGGTGACAGGACATCTGTTCAGCTACCCGGAATCTTCAGTTCAAGGTGAAAACATTTTGTGTTTTTTTTTGTCATGATTTTCAGTAAATATTTTCAGTTCTCTCTAAAACGTGTTGAATGAGTTATCAAAGCAAGCCGAACGCGAGGAGGGGTAGAATCCGTATGGAAATCGAGATGCAAAAAGTCACGGTAGAAAAATTGGCCCCGCGTCTTCACGCTAGCGTTAATTTCTGGAACGGAATCACGCATCACGCCATAAAATGACTGTCGCCAACCTTAAAATAGACGGAAATACCACGCCTCACTGGACGCCCCGCCAATACCCTCACACCAGTGAGTTTTCGTCGCATTGTGGCAGAATATACCTAGGTAAATAGTGTGTGTGTGTGTGTGTGTGTGTGTGTGTGTGTGTGTGTG